CGGCGCTGCGGGGGGGGGCGGGCTGGGGGCCCGCCTGGCGGGCTGGGCGCGGAACTCACATGCCATGGGCAGCCTGGACCCCTAGATACTGCCCCGACGGTTCCGTGGTGGGGCCTGGGCACGTGCCGCCTGCAGTAGTGGCCTGAGGTGGAGCTGGCATCAGAGGCAGGGGGAGATCCCAGGGCCGGCCTAGGCGCAGCTGCGTTGGTCTCTGTGGAGGCGGTTACGCTGGGGACGGGCTCTGAGACCGGGGAAGCCGATTCCTGCCTGGGTCCTGCCGAAAGGTTCTGGTGACGTGGCCCAGAGCGGCGTGGAGCCCAGCCCCGCAGGCCCAGCGCCCAGTCCCACCCGCCCGCCTGCACCCCTAGTGGGATTTCTTCCCCCGTCCCGTCCGTTCCAGGCCAGCGCTGTTCGTTACGATCTACCTGGGGCTGGAGCCCCTGTCACGTTACTGGATCTTGAGGGGAGCAGCCAGATCACTGCTGCACCCATAGGTGGGGGGGTTGGCCCCAGAAAATGGTATAAAAGGGGGCCATGTGGGGTGCTGAATAGAAGCTTATTATCTGATAATCCTATGTAAGATATTTATGTGGTTGTATAACGTCTGTGTGTGTAGTTAGGAATCTGTAGTCTGTGTGGATACTGAATTCTTCTCTGCATGTGGTTGAGCATTGGGCAGAGCCCGGCCTATGGACATGCTAATCAGCGAGGCCCTGTGGGACAATGGCACTCGATGGGCCAAGGACACACCTAAAGCATGAGGGCGGACACCTAAGAGCGGCCAGCAGAGAGAGGCTGAGGACCAGGTGACCGGCTGAGACCAGAAGAGGCCAGGAAGGAGGTATAAAGAGGCCATGTGGTCGATGCCATTTTGTTCTCAGCTCAGCACTTCATCCCAGAGGCAGCAGTGCAGGGATCGAAGAGCCCGGAAGACCTGTGAACCCATCCTGATCGTAGGATGTGCAACAAGAACTTTTAAACCAGCAGCTGCAACATCTCTGCTAGAGCCTGCATCGAGGACTGGGAGATTCGGTGCATGTAACGTACTATCCTTTAACAACCTCACTCTCAGGCTTTTCTTTCTTGTGGTAATAAACCTTTAGATGTTAGATGCTAAAGGATTGGCCCAGTGTGATTTGTGGGTAAGGTCCAGAGGGTAAATTGACCAGGGATCTGTGGCTGGTTTCTTGGAACCAGACAGAACTTGTTCGGGGTAGGTGGGATTGGGTGTTAGGGCCCCCCACCTGTGTATGAGGCCCGGGGCCATCTGGGGCACGGATATTGCTGGGGTGTCGGAGGGGTTTTGCTCGTGAGGCTTCAGGCAGGCTGCTGGAGCGCTCTGTGGGACTGGTGTGTGGCCGGTTTGGAAAGGTCACCAGTCTGGGGGCTGTAAGGAGCCCCGGATTTGAGCAATTCGCCCTGAGCGGACGCCCTCAACTGTGCCCAGACACGGCCCGGTCTGTCACAGCCCCCCTCGTGGCTCAGCCCGCCTTGCTCTAGGTGCAGGACAAACAGAGCACCAGCCCCTTCCCCAAGCGAAAAGAGCCGGACGTCCGGCGATGGATGGGTGGGGCACTCGGGATGTCACATATCGGTTAACTGAATAGTCGAGTAACCTCACGAATTCTTATCGGTTAGTCGACTATTCTATAGTCCCTGGGGATGGGGCCGGCAGCCAGTGCGCTCCAGCCTCACTTCCGAGGAGCCCCCGGCCACTCCACGCTGGTTTCAAAACCAGCTCCCCCCCGCCTCCCCCGCAGACCAGCTGCCTGGCACCTGGCGCTGTCCCCTCTGATACAGAGGCAGCAGTGCAGGGCGGCAGCAGCCCCTGTCCAGGGGGGGTGTCTGAGCTCCTGGACCAGGCATGAGCCAGAACTGAGCCGCAGCAGAGGTAGGTCCCAGCCCCGTCGCAAGCCAGGACTGAGCCAGGTTGCCGACCGGCCTGCTAAAAGATGTCCTTGGGGTGGGGGAGAAATGTCGTGTAGAGCATTAACCTGTGCGCTTTGCGTGCGGTTAATCGACTGCACTCTCGCATCCCTGGGGGGGACACGAGGAGACACCAGGACCGGAGGGAGACACTCCGCGTCTGCTCCCCATTAACGGCCTCTGACGTCGGCTACCCGCCGTCGGAGCCCAAGATCCGCTTTGCAGCGAGCGTTTCGTTTTCATTTCACCCCAGCCCTGGGGCTCTGCCGAAGGGTCTCTGCCACCCACCGCACTGCAGCGAACCCCCCTGCTCCCAGCTGAGCGACCAGCATCCCCTCCCAGCCCTGCCCCATGGGATGAGCAGGGGGTTCCTTCTCCTCGCCCCCCACTCCTCAGGGCTGCGGAGCCCAAGATCCGCTTTGCAGCGAGCGTTTCGTTTTCATTTCACCCCAGCCCTGGGGCTCTGCCGAAGGGTCTCTGCCACCCACCGCACTGCAGCGAACCCCCCTGCTCCCAGCTGAGCGACCAGCATCCCCTCCCAGCCCTGCCCCATGGGATGAGCAGGGGGTTCCTTCTCCTCGCCCCCCACTCCTCAGGGCTGGCTGGCTTCAGATCCGCTTTGCAGCGAGCGTTTCGTTTTCATTTCACCCCAGCCCTGGGGCTCTGCCGAAGGGTCTCTGCCACCCACCGCACTGCAGCGAACCCCCCTGCTCCCAGCTGAGCGACCAGCATCCCCTCCCAGCCCTGCCCCATGGGATGAGCAGGGGGTTCCTTCTCCTCGCCCCCCACTCCTCAGGGCTGGCTGGCTTCGCTCCCATGGACAGGGCTGGAGCCACAGCGTGGTTAGCCAGGTCCTGGGGCTGCTGGCAGGGGGAGCCCTGCTGGCGGTGGGGTGGGCGCCGGGGGGGGACAGCGCCTGCCCTTGCTACTCACCATGAGGGGGCTCCACTCCCCTGGGCTGGCAGAGTGAGGGGCTGCTCTCCGGGAGCATGGGTGGGGGCAGAGTCCAGCCTGCGCAGACTTCAGGGCCCAGGCTCCGTCCTGCCACCCGAGGAGATGGGCTCGGAGCCCGCACAAATCTGCCGGCCCGCGGGGTTCCGGCTCCCAATCGTCGCGGAGACAACCTCGGCGCAGCAAGGGGCAAGTGTCCCCACCACACGGCACCGGCAAACCGCGGAGCGCTCTGGCTCCGGGCACCTGCTTCCGAGCAGGGCCGAGGAGGTCCAAGCCACGCGGCCAAGGAAGGCGAGGAAGGAGGCCGGTCGCGCTCCGTCCAGACCTGCCTGGGGAAGAGATTTCAGACCAGAGGCAGCAAAAAGCAACCCACGATCCAGTGAACCCACTGGAGCTGAGGCCCTGCTTTCTAAGCAGCAGGGGAATTAGCTAGGGGACGTCTCCCCGAGACTGGGGGGTGCTCTGCCCCGTGGCCCCTCCCACCCAGACGGAGGGCATGCGGAAGGCAGCGCGGCAGCCCCACTGGGGGAGGTGGCAGGGGTCCCTGGGCAAGGCTCTTTGGCCGGTGGAGGAGCGTCACGGTCCCTTGGGCCTCACCACGCCGCGGGAGCGTCTGTCCGGCGTGCGGGGAGACGGGCGTGGGTTCTTGGGGAGCGCCAGCGCGGAAAGGCAGGCTGGCTCCTGCCCCCCTGGAAAAATGCCCTTTGCAAAGGCCTTTCTGGGGCTCCTTGTGCAGCCAGGCAGAGCCCTGAGCCGGGACATACAGGAGCCGCCCGGCTCCCCTGGGACTAAGCCCCCATCGTGCCACACCACTGGGCCGGCTGGTGTTCTGGGGGCCCCGGCTCCCCCCACCTCTCTGCTCTGGGTAAGCAGGAAAGGGGGCCACGTGCCACAGCGCCCTGCGCAGCCCAGCCATGGGCTCAACGGGGGCCTAGTCCCCTGCGTGGGCCTGTGGCCCAAGTGCCCCTCACAGCCTAGTCCTGTGTCACCAGGAACAACAGCCCTCCCTGGCTCCTTCCAGCCGGCTCCGTCGCTTCTCCCCGTGCTGGGGCGCTCCCCAGCCTGGCGCGGGACAATCGCACGGAGCTTGGCACCTTCCTCCCCAGAGCGACTGCCAGCACCCTCCCCTGTGGCCTCAGTGCTGGCTGGACTTGGGGGGCCTCCCTGCCGACCCCAACAGGCTGCGTCCTAAGGGTCATTCCTGCCCTTCGCTGTGGGTCGGCAGCACTGCAGCAGGGGAGCTGCTGCCAGGGAAGCCGGATGGGCGCCCCCGGGGGGGTGCTGAGGAGATGGGAGCATTGAAGGGCAGACACCCAGCAAGGACATTTAGGGGCCGGGGGCAGACCCTCCGGGGGAGGTTTCCTCGTTTACCACCCAGCTGTAGGCTCCCCTCTCCCCGGGACCGTCCCTGCTGGGTTTGCCCCTTGGGGTCTGCAGGGGACACTGCGGAGAGCCCAGCCCGGCCTGCCTCGACCCAGGGCAGGAAGCCCGGCGAGGACAATAGGCAGGCCCAGGTGGAGCTGACAGGGCGCTTTGTTCGCCCCCTCAGGGCCAGACAAAAGGGGCAGTCAGACGTCACAGCGGCCCATTGTGCGGCGGGGAGCGAAGCGCTGAGCCAGCAACCCGCGCCTGACCTCGCTCGGCTGCTGAGGGCGGAGGCCCCCAGCACACACAGGCTTGGGCCGCCCCGGGGGCAGGGCGCCCCGAGG